GGGAGAACTTCAAACAGACAGAGTATATGAAGGGGTTCAGAGACTAATTGCATCTTGATAGAGTGTATATTTTTGGCCTAGATATCTCTGGTAACGCTGACCTTAACTGCTGCCCTCTTGAACAGTTTTAAGCTTTGGGGGTCATTGTTTCTTGGATTAGGACCAAAGAAAGGATTTACTGCACATTTTCTTGTTTAATTAAGTAAAAATCATCTAAACTCTTATGTCATCTCTCACCTCCTGAGGACTTCTGTTTAAGTTCTCCCCCCCTCTTTTTTTTTTCTTTTTTTTTTTTTGGTCTTTTTGAGACAGGGTCTCCCTGTAGCCCCAGCTGTCCTGGAACTCACTATGTAGACCAGGCTGGCCTTGAACTCAGGCATGCGCCACTACACCCGGCTAAGTTCTCCCAATTTTTAACATATTAGTCTTAAATAATAATGCAATTAATTTTCCCCCACTGTTTTTTCCCCTCCAACCCCACTCTCTACAGTGATAGCAGAAATGTAATATTAATTAATGTTCAGTAATTTCAATTTTACATGAATTCAATCTGTGAAAATGGCTTTCTCTGCCTTCTCTTCTGGCATCTAAGTTCTGAGATGACATTATGGTCTGGTTAGTGGTGTGCACAGAAACAGTTGGCAGTCTTGAGATGTGTATCATCTTCCTGAGGGTTCAGCTGTTATCACCTACATGCTAGCATCTGCTGAGAAGTTTGCATTCTTGTCTGGTCCTAAGCTCTGTGATCCACTGCTTTCTGCAGTAATACCTCCAGCATCACATCTTGAGTGCCTTTGGGACCACTGCACCCCAACTCATTACCAATCTAAGGTCAATGCAGTTAGCTGGACAATTTAGGCTGTATGCCCAATGTGCTTGGTGTATGACAATCTTTCTATTAGTTTATCATCAGTAATACACAGGCTTTGCATGCTATATGTATCCCTAAACATTCCTTTTAGAAAGTAATAAAATTTATTATAATGCTGTAATTGTGTTCTATTTGTAACATATTTCTTAATATATCTTTTTGTTTAATATATTACTTAAAGATTTTATTTTAAATTGAAATGTTCTGAAGTTGATTTTTGTGGGATTTTTTTTCTATTCTGTATTAAAATAAAATATATAGAGAGCTCCAGTGCTACTTTTAATATATTGCAGGGGTTAAGGAATAAACCAAAGAAAACAGCACATGTGAAACCAGACCTCATTGATGTTGATCTTGTAAGAGGTGAGTTTTAGATAAGTAAATGCCTAATACAAGTAAGCATTGATCTCAAAGAAACAATTAAAAAAAGTTCAGATGTGTACATTTGTAGAATAAAAGAAATACTATCCTACATGAGGACAGGAATAACATAAAGAAAAAAAATAGAAACATTGACTAGTTTTTCCTACTTTGAGATGTAATCCCAAGGAATAAATATGAGAGAATAACAGCTCATGTTTGCACAGCAAGCTATAAGGACTTCATATGAAATTTAAATTATAGATGGGCGTGGTGGCACATACTGTAATTCCAAATGCTTGGGAGGTAGAGTCAGAAGGATTGGGAGTTCAAGTCCATCGTTGATGACACAGTTCAAAGCCAGCCTGGCCTACATGAAATCACTGTCTCAGAAAAACAACAAAAATATTTATAATGTCAAAAATTGAAATAAAACTTGGCCTACATAAAATCACTATCTCAGAAAAACAACAAATATTTATAATATCAAAAATTGAAATAAAACTTTTAGAAAGTACTTTGTAATTTCTCTCGTATTTGGATGTGTGGTGTATGTGCATGTGCTTATGTGTGTTTGCATATGTGTGGTAGGGAGGCCAGAGACTGACCTTGTCTTCCTAAGTTGCTCTCTACTTTATTTACTGAGACAAGATGTCTCTGGCTTATCCTGGAACTTTCTGATTTGCTGGTGTAGCTAGCCAGTTTGCCCCCAACAACTCCGTCTTCACTTCTAAGACCACTGGGATTGCAGTCTGGCCAGCTGCTGCCTAGCTTTTATATGGGTGCTGGTCTGATTCTAGTCTGCAGCAAGGGTTTTGCTCACTGAGCCATTTCCCCAACCTTGTAAATTATAATTCCAAATGAATTGACATTTGAATGCTGTCTTATTTTTATGTAATGTTTGGAAGAAATTCTGATATTTCAGCTAATCTTTTTCAAGGTACCTGAGTTTGTATGGTAGCATGGAAGAGTGCTCTGGAAAATGAGTATTCCATACTTGTAGAATAGCAGAGAATAAATGGAATCTTCCATTATACTTTACTTTTTCTCCCAGGATCTGCATTTGCTAAGGCAAAGCCTGAAAGTCCTTGGACTTCTCTGACTAGAAAAGGAATTGTTCGAGTTGTATTTTTTCCCTTTTTCTTTCGGTGGTGGTTACAAGTAACGTCAAAAGTCATCTTTTCTTGGCTGCTTGTCCTTTATCTTCTTCAAGGTATGGAAATTAATTTTACTCTTAACTTTTAAGAATGTTATAATTATAGGGTTATTAAGGTTTTGTTCTAAACATGTACTCCCTGCTGCTGTTATGAAAATGAGCATGGATGTGTTAAGGAGGCATGAAACTACTTAGGTATTAAAAAGTTTGAGGGCTGGTGAGATGGCTTAGTGGGTAAAGGAGCTGCCACCAAGCCTGACAACTTTAGTTAGGTCCCTGGGGCTCACATGGCAGAGGAGGAACTTCAGAAAGTTGTCCTCTGACCTCCACATGTATTCTGTGCCATGCGTGTATACACTAACATATACACACTAAATAAATACATAAATAAATAAATATTTTATTTAGACAAAAACTTTTGTACCCACCACACATCCATATACACCAGCCTTGCCCCTTTTTTTGAAGACACAGACTTGCTGTAGCTTATGCTGGCATTGACATCAGGATCTTCCTGCTTGAGCCTCCTGAATGCTCAGAGTATAGCTGTGTGCCTTCATGTCTGGCAAATCTTTTTTTATATACCACCTATGCAACTCAATTTTTTCCTGACTAAAATGTGATTTATTTTTCTATGTCTTTTTCAACTGTGATCTAGGCTGTCTCATTTTATGTTACAACTTTGTATATTCCATACTCTTTGAAGTGCTTTCTCAGATTCTTTAATTTTCATAATAACCCAATGAAGTGGAAGTGCTATTGTTTCATGTAGCCTTATCGATACCGCACCTGAAAGACCTAAGGATCTAGGCTGTATAGTCGCCTGGTGTTCAAGTCTAAACATTCTGACTCCATGGCCCTGACTGTTACACTGCCTTTCAACATTCTAGTACAGTCATAGCAACAGCATTCAGTGTGATCCAATAGTTACACCTCAAGAGTGGAAGCTGCAGAAGAAACAGCTTGTGTTCCATTCTATTAACAAATCAATTAGTTTAGTTGATGCCCTTCCAGCATTTTTAATATTACTTTTTTAATTAATTAATTAATTTATTTATTTATTTATTTTGGTTTTTTTGAGACAGGGTCTCCCTTGTAGCTCCAGCTGTCCTGGAACTCACTATGTAGACCAGGCTGGCCTCGAACTCCCAAAGATCCGCCTGACTCTGCCTCCCGAGTGCTGGGATTAAAGGCGTGCACCACCACGCCCGGCAATATTACTTTTTTAATAAAAAAAAAATAATTTTAATCCTAAATGATTATTTACTTGTTTTATCAACAGATCTTATGTTGAGTGATCTTTTAAATAAATGAAAATATAGTAAAAATTAAAGGCATTCATTTAAAGTTGTTCCTTTTAAGGAAGAACATATACATCAAAGAAAAGAGGTAGGGTGGGGACAAACACACACACATTCTGAGGATTTTGTGATGGTGTGTGTTTGTTTTCCAGGTTTATGTTTCATTGCTGGAGACTGACCCCAGGTTCTTGCATATGCTGGGCAAGTGCCCTACTACTGAGTCACACCCAAGCCTCATTTTTTTTTCTCATTAAATATATATTGTATCAGGCAGGAGATATGCTTGTCAGTTAAGAGCACTTGCTGCTCTTCAGAGGACCCAAATTCGATTCCCAGCAACCAAATTGGGTAGCTCACAACAACCCATAACTCCAGTTCCAGGGGATTCTGATGCCTCTGTCTTCCTTGGGACCCTGCACTCATACCCATAACCAGATACACATATATACACATAACTTAAAATAAAATCTTTTAAAAAAGATATAGTATATGTTCATGGCAAAAATAAAATTGGAAAATCTAGGAACACCTAAAGCAGAAACAATCAAAGAAACCACCTTTTGTCTTGCTTTTAGGTTTACTTTCTCCAATTTTATATGGTTGAGAGTATATTTTATAGTTGATTGTATATTATTTTTGCTTAATATTATAAAATGTATCAGAATATTTATATGTAATTTTAAATTACTAGAAAAATACCTTCTGTCATTTTTGGGTGTAAAAACTCTTTGCTGTCTTTAGCTATTATAATTAATGCTGAAGTCAACCTTTGTTTATGAAGTTTTTCTTGTACTATTGATTACTTTCTTGTGATTGATATTAGAATGCATGAAATTAAATATTATAAACTTTCTAATTGTTTTAAGGAAGCTGATCCTTCTGTTGTTGAAATGAATTGGCTCTTTCTGGGTAGTAACCGAGGCAGCTCCTGGCAGTTTCCTGTGTTTCGTGTTTTCATGGGTCTTTGTGTTTGTGCTCTAAGGAGAATGGATTTTTTTTTTTTCCAAGTACCTGCATTAATCCCTATAGAAGATTTTGCTTGAAGCAGATGTGGTGACTTATGCCTGTAATCCTAGTGCTGAGAAGGCTGAAGCTTACCATTAGTTTTAGACCAGCCTGGGCTGCATAGTGAATTCCGGGCTAGCTTGGGTTACAGAATGAGACCCTGGCACTACAGTAACAACAAAAAGGATAAAAAGGATGGGGAGGGGAGGAAAAAAATTTCTTCACCCGTTTAAGTCGTATAAATACCTTTTTATTAACTCCTATGCCCAGAGTTTCTCATGTTGTGGCAAACTGAGATTGTATCTGTACATGAAGTGTGATAAATAGCCCTGTTCATTGATAGATAAAAGTAAAGGTTTTATGTCCAGAAAGTCTAAACTATGTAAGACAGGGAGAAGTAAGCTTTCCCCTTTATGTTGTAATGCTTAGCATTGATGACTGTTTGGTGATTTTCCTGGGGACTATGTCCAAGTAGATTTATGTTTATAATCTTAAATGGTAGAATACTTGCCTAGCACATGCCCAAAGCCCTGTGTTCAATCAGCATCACATAAACTAGGGATGATGATGAGGATGATGATGATGCACTGCTGATCCCACCACTCAGGAAATAGAAACAGCAGAATTAGAAGTTCAAGGTCACTCTTGTCTACTTGTGAATTCATGGCCAACCTGTGATAAATGAGTACCTGTGTCCCACAAAAAAGGTCTTAGCAAACTTTTTGTAGCCTTATTATATTGGACACTTACCAGAACACTTCATTATTTGTAAGACAACAGAATAAATAAATGTACTTGAAATTAGTGTGGCTCTTCCGATTATGATCTAACGAGAAATCAGTTTAGATTTGAAGTCATCCAGTTTTCTTTTTTATTTTATTTTTATGTATATGAGTCTATTGCCTGCATGTAATTGAGTGTACCTGTGTCATTCAGTGCCCGAGGCGATCATAACAGGGTGTGGGATTCCCTAGAACTAGAGTGACAGACAGTTGTTAGCTGCCAAGTGGGTGCTGGGAACCGAACCCAGGTCCTCTGCAAGAACAGCCAGTGCTCTTTAACTGCTGAACCATCTCTCCAGCCCCCAGATTTTTATTACATGTTTGAGTGTGTGTACTTTAGAGTTGAGTGGGTTTTTTTTTTTTTTTTTCTTGTTGTTGTTCCAAGAACACATTACCAAATACCATGGTTAGGCAGTAGCAAATAAAACAGTCTAAAGAGCTTATATCAAAAAACACTTTCTTTCTCTTTTCACAGGGCCTCCCTAGTCCCAGCCTGCCTGGAACTTGTTATGTAGACCAGGCTAGCCATCCTCAGGGCTGGGATTAAAGGCGCATGCCACCACGCCTGGCTTTCTTTTTCTTTTTCGAGGTGGGGTTTCACTATGTCTTGGCTGGCCTGGAACTCACTATGTAGACCAGGCTGGACTTGATCTCACAGAGCTCTGCCTTCAGAGTACTGGGATTGAAGGCATGTGCCACCATGCCTGGCATCATAGAGTAACATATTAAGTTCATTTTAGGTATAGAAAAAGATTCTAGTAAAAAGTAATACAGGAACAATTTTTTAAGTTTTATAAAAATGATTATCAACTCTGTAATGAAATATATTTTCTTTCCCTATTTGTAGTTGCTGCAATAGTATTATTCTGTTCCGCTCCTAGTCCACACAGCATACCTCTCACCGAAGTGATTGGACCAGTATGGCTGATGCTGCTTTTGGGGACTGTGCATTGCCAGATTGTTTCAACAAGAACACCCAAACCTCCTCTAAGCACAGGCGGTAAAAGAAGAAGGTACTGCCTATCAGAAATGATCTTTTTGTGGATGTCTGTAACCATCCAGAATTGTTCCTAACTGCTCTTACCTTCATAGAGTATAAATGTTATTTTAAAAAGTTGGAGCTGGAGAGATGGCTTAGCAGTTAAGAGCACCAACTGCTCTTGCAGAGGACCCAGGTTCAATTCCCAGCACCCACATGGCGGCTATGAACCGTCCTTAACTCCAGTTCCAGGGGAAACCGAAGCCCTTGTCTGACCTCTGCGGCATTGCACGAGGGAGGGTACACTCACATACATGCAGGCAATACACTCATACACATAAAATAAAAATAATAAATAAAATATTAAAAATGTTGCTCTTTCGTGTAAAACACTAAGCTCCAGAAACAATTACCAGATTTGTTTTCTATATTTATTTGCTTAAAGATCACTTCCATGCCGTATACCTTGAGCTTTTGTTGTTGTAGCTGTAATATTTTTTTTCTTTCTTGAAGTTCATTTCTGGTCACCTAATACCAATACAGGGAATTGATGCTAAGTCATATGACTCCGAAAAACCTTCTATTTCTAAGATTCCTTGGCAAAAATAAGAACCAAGAAAAATAGCTAATCTAGCTAGTCTGTTTATTAAGTGCTGTTCAAAGCCGTTAGTACTGCATACTGATAGTAAACGTAACAAGTCTCACTAACTCTTAAGCACAGTAGACCTCGGTTTTGCAGATGTTTTAGAGCAAACTCTCTTTTGAGTATTGTTACCAAGAGATTGTGATATTTATAATTTTGGGATATTGAGATTTAAGTCAATTTCATTTTTGAAAGATAATATCTATATTAGGTAAATAACTTTATCAATTAGGTTATAATTCTCTCCAATCTAAATTTTTCTTCATCTTCAGAGAAATAACATTCAAATAGGGAAGAGATGCTTTTATAAATATCTCTCCACTATGGCCCTTATAATACTGTGTCCATTGACCATCAGTGTAAGTATGAACAAGAACAATACCTTTGTATTTATAGAAATTGAGCTTGAATATGCACTGTAATATTTTTGTAATATTTTATCCATTAAATTTGAATTTTATTGTGTATTAAATAAAAAGTTCCTGTGTTTTATAAAATTTTGAATGTACTACTGAGAATGTGGTTGTTAAAACTTTAAAACTGAATAGACTCTTAATCTTTTCTGATGAAGGAAATTAAGAAAAGCGGCCCATTTGGAAGTACATAGGGAAGGAGATGGTTCCAGTACCACAGATAACACACAGGAGGGAGCAGTGCAGAGCCATGGTGCAGGCACCTCTTACAGTGTTGGTGCTATCTTCAGAGATCTCTGGCATGCTGCTTTCTTTTTATCAGGGTTTGTATTTATTCAGGGCTTTCTATAACATAGAGATTCAATATTCTTTTTCTGATATTTCTGCTTCTCATAATGAATATTAATGACTTTCAATTTTGCATTCTCATTACAGAATTTGTTTTACCAAATTTTAGTGCTCTAGGTTGAGGAGAAATAGCATACAGTGTATTTTGGGTTATGTGTAAATACATCTGCATAAGAGTGAGTATATACTAGCAAAGTATATTTAGTTAGGACTTCTTGATTTGGGTTTCTTTTAATTTTCCTAAGTATTATTTTCCTTCTGTTAATTAGTTCATTATCTTTATCCACATTATAGGTCAAATTTTGCTTTAATTCTTAATGTAAGTTATGTATTTTTTTCTTTTAAGTGTGCTTTAATTATCCAAATTAACTGAAATAATCATGTGATTTAGGTGAATAAAATACATGGTATAGTATAAAGTTCTTTTTTTTTAATATCATCAATGAAGATTTACCAAACAGGAAAAAATAATTATAACAGACTTCAAAAATAAAGGTAACTCAATATTATTATTACTTTGAACACTTAATTCAAAACAGTTCAGAGTTAATGTTACTAGTTTACATATGCATGTAATAAATTTGAAGCTAGTTAGAAAGCCATAATGGGAGTATCTGAAAGTGCTTAATTAGTACCTGAAGAAAAGGGATGCTGCAGTCACTGTGAATTCTGTCACCGGGCTAACTACTTCACTAATGTAATTGTTTCATCCGTTTGTATTTGTGCTCTTAGGATAAGGTTTATCATGAATTATAGTAATCAACTGAGAAAACAGATCTGGGCATATTTTCACTGATGAAAAATTTTAGTAACTATGTCCCAATTTTCAGTGGTTGGCTGTAAGGTGGCAGGTACTCCAATTGCCCATTGTTCCTTGAAAGGTGATTTGTTTGTGTTATTTGCTGAATTTTTTTTAACTCTTTTTAAAATTGAATTTTTGTGAATTTCGTACAATGTATTTTGATTTTGATTGGGTTTAGGTTCTCCTCCCTATATGTACCTCATTACTACCCCAACCAGTTTTATGTGCTCTTATATTTGTGCCTGTAGAGTCAAATCTGTGTTCCTAAATGCCCTTTGGTGTGGGTTTATCCACTCCTGTTTTGTTTTTAAACTTGGACTATATTCTCTTATCTCACTTTTTTTTTTTTTTTGGATCTTTTTTGTCATTTTAATTGAAGCACTGCTAATTCACTTTTTCTTAAACTCTCAAAAGCACCAAATTTTCTATCTAAAGTCAATTTGGGGGGTGGCGGTGGGGATGGGGACACCATCAGGAACTCCTCTTCAGAACAAAACAATGATGCTCATACCTCCAAATGTGCAAATTGAAGGTCTACTGAAACCAAAACTAAACCCCCCAAACAAACCCCACTCAAAGATAAAAAGTAACAAAAATCATATTGGGGGGGTGTCAGTGCATCTTGTGGTCTCTGTGCTGTCTAATTGTCCTTCAGCTGACTTTCAAAAAATTAACATCCTAGCTCACCAAAATACACATCTTTTACTCACTGGCTTTTTAAATTTAAAAATAATAATTTAAAAAAAAGAGGGCTGGAGAGATGGCTCAGTGGTTAAGAACACCCTCTTCTGACCTCTGCAGGCAGTGCATGACACAGATGCACTTACATACATGTAGGCAATACTCATACACATGAAATAAAATAATAAAATATTTTTTAAAAGAAAAGATTAAGTAGGAAGAGTTAGGTTTTGATTATGTATTTTTTCAATATTAGACCTGTTAGAATTCAGATAAATCTTGTTTTCTTTCATGTCCGTTAAGATTTGACTATCATAATATCTCTAAAAAGCAGACCAACAAATAGAATTATACTTCTGTTTTTTGAGTAGAGAACTTAATTATAGAAATAGATTTGGTGAGTTCATAACAGATAGCAGACTAAAGCCAGGCATGGTGGTATACACCTTTAATCCCAGCACCTGGGAGGCAGCAGCAGGCAGATCTCTGAGTTCAAGGGCAGCCTGGTCTACATAGCGAGTTCCAGGTCAGCTTGGGTTATAGGGAGACCCTGTCTCAAAAAGATAAAAAAAATACAAAATATAACAACAGATAACAGAATAAAACTGGATCACACGTTAGTTTATATGTTGATCTACTTTTAAGATTTCTGTCTAGGGCCTGCAGTGTTGCTCAGTGGTAGAACATGCCTAGCATAAGCAAGGGGTCCTGGGTTAGATATCTGCCACTGCAAGGCGGGTAGGTATGTGGAGATTTGTGCCTCTGTATTTATTGTTTATAATACTAAAGTGAAAGTTAAAGATTTAGTAGTACATTGATTTTCATCACAGAGTGGTGTATACCACGTAAGTTCAGTCCCACCAAAAATTTTGGGATAAGCATTAAAATTTTACTTTCGCTGACTGGTTAAATAGTTGAGCCATTTAAGCTATGAACTGGAATTCAGCTTTCGTCTACAAACAAGACTAGGAGAGGTTTACTTGTCAGTATATCTTAGAGTTTTAGGAATACCCATGGGCACAGCTAGATAACACATTAAGTTGCTAGAACACTGCATTTTACAATCGTAGATCACTGGTAGCGCAAATGGGTCCAATTGAACAGACTTCTTTTCATGTTTAATACATTTGAAATTTTATAAGCAAGTTCTTTAAAAGTTGTGTTAAGTTTTTGGCCCAAGTTTTCTATATGGAAAATATAATAACAATGATTTATTTCAGTGTAGAATATATTTAATTCAATTAAAGGTATTAAACTAATGTATTTCTAAGTGTCTTTTCTACCTGAGGAGCTTTGACATGGGACTGCTTCATTGTGAATGTCAATCATGATACTCTGTAGAAAATTGTACACAGGTTCTGCCATCTAGAAATTGAAAGGGGTAGGCATTTATAAAACTAAGCCTTGGCTATAACAATAAGATTATACATTGGTTCCCTGCACATATTTTTTTTTTTGAAAATGGAACTCAGAAAATAACAGTTTTCTTAATAAAAATAAACATTTAATAAGTACCTGTCATAGATGAGGCAGTATGCTACATACTGTGAATAAAACACTGAAACTGATGGACTAGGAGAAATGAATCACAGTTCTACTCTACTAAAACACAATGTAAATGTGGACAGAATATCCTGTGGAAGGAGAGTCAGGGAGACATCCCTCATATTGCAGGTAGCTCTTGAAAGTGAGTTTAAACAAGGATTGGCTACTGTCATAGTCTTACAAGAAGGATAGTTCTTGGAAAATGGATAAGGTCATTTCTTTAAATCCTCCCAAGAATCAACAAATGGGACCGCTTGAAATTAAAACATTTTCTTCCAGCAAAAGAAACTATAATCCCTGCTACCTACCTGTACCTCAGACAGAGGGCTGATAGTTAGAGTATATGAAGAACTACAAACCAAAGACATAAGATTGCCAATCAGTAAATGGCTAATAAATGGACAGATAGTTTCAAAAGAAGAAAAATGGCCAATAATTTTTAAATTTAAGCTCAACATCTTTAGCCACCAGAGAAATGAAAATTAAAACCACTTTGAGATTCCATCTCACCCTTGTCAGAATGACTGTTATCAAGAAAATAAATGACAATAAATGAATGCTTATAAAGTTGTGGAGAGAGAGGATCTTTTATTCTCTGCTGATAAGAGTGTAAAGTAGTGCGGCTACTATGGAAATCAGGATAGAATCTCCTCAAAAATTAAAAATAGACCTATGGTATGACCCAGCTACATGGGTCCTGGGTATGTACTCAAAGGATTCTGTGTCCTATCACAAAGATATGTACGTGTACATCCATATTTATTGTTGCACTGTTCACAGTAGTAGGAATGGAGCTAGCCTAGATGTCTATCTAGGGATAGAAGAATGGATAGTGAAAATGTGGCACATATACATCATGGAATTTTTATTCAATTCTTATGCAAAAATGAATTATGAAATCTAGAAGAAAATGAATGTCTCTAGAAAGGATTGTGCTGAGTGAGATGATCCAGTGTCAGAGATAAAAATCTCCCGTTCTCTCTACCTTGTGGATTCCAACTTTTAAAGATGTATGCATGTAAAAAAGGGGTTGTAAGAGTGGGTAGAGACTATGAAAAATGAATACCACCAGGGGACGGAAGGTATTGCAAAGGGCAGGGGAGGGCAAAGGTCACACAGGGCATGGGACATGATAGTTACCTTTTTCCTGCAGCTTTCACTTTCTTGGTTAAATGACTTTTGATTTTATTTGAATTATTATGACGGTTTCCACATGGTGCTTTTTCCAACTCCATCATTCCTTCTTACATTTATTAGTTGGCATTTTGCTTCAAGGTGATGCTTTCCCTTACTTGTTTCAATTTCTATTTTATTTTTTATCTAGTGACATATTTCGGTGATTTGTTTGACTTTTTGAGTTCTTTACTTTCTAACACACGAAATGTTCCAGGTTCAGCTTGTACTTCTTCTGTTCTAGCCCTGGAACCACCCATTTCTTCAAGGAGAATGGAACTCAGAAAACAAAATCTGGGTTCAAGCTGCTGTTGGGGTGCTGGCACAGTGGCTAGAGAGTTTTGTGTATGTTATTCAACTTTGAGCCTATCTAGATAAAGTATTCATATTATGTATGTAAAATAGGTACAGTTCTGTACCTGTTTACATATGTAAATGTGCTAGCCATGAATTTTCAGTGATAGCTCCAATTAAGCTCTGATACCAATAGTACATTCTATTTTTCAGATTTTTGTATCTTTTTAATCAATGAAAACCCTGAAGAACATTATTTTCAGTGTTTGCTTATGCCATGAATCATCTGTGTGTAGCCTGCCTCCTAATCCTACCAGGCTGCATAGAGCATTCTGTCCTTACATTGTCCTCAGATGGACTACCACTGATTGTTGCTAGCTTCCCCTGCTGTACTATTTCAGTCTTTCAAGAGCCAGACTGTCTGTTTGTATTTTTAGCTCTGAGGGCTCTGCTTAAATTTAGTATTTTCTTCTTGCCATTATAGCTAGTTTTGTGACTTAATATGCTGTTGGTTAATAAGAAACATCTAGCTTGGTGACTTACTGTTCATGTGTCCTCAGAGTGTCAGAAGGATTCTGAGAAAAAAACAGCTCAAAGACTAGAAGGAAGCAGAGATCAGGAGGGGAAGTAGCTGGAAGGAATCATACAGAGTGTCGCTAGTGCTCTTCCTTACTTTGGCATAGTCTTTGCCCTGTACTGCTAAGGAAAGAATGCATTCTTCTTAGACAAAATACTTTGAAAGATCTTTTCACTCAGGTCTTACGAGAGCTCTACTTCACTCTGCATTTTCCCAAATTTCTGCCAGTTTCTTCCTTGACTGCTGGCGTCCAAGCCTTTGTTTTCAGTTGCCTTCTGCTCTTAGGATTTTCTGTCTTCTCGTGCAAGTTTCTCTGGATTTTCTGTCTGATTAATGTACCTACTAGCATTTCTAGTCCTCCTTTACTTCACGTATCCTCCTTTTCCTTCTCAGTCCAGTCATGAGCCTTCATAAATGCCTTTCCATCATACTACTCTTGAGTTTCTTTGAATTCCAAGATATCAAGGACCTTTACCCCCCCCCCCCACCATCCACATGTTGCACAATGTTCAGAGGAGAAGTAAAGGAAACAGTTAATAATGAATGTTCTTCCCCAGGCAAAGAAGGTCACAAGGTACCTTTGTGCCCTTTGCTTTCTGTTTTCACCCAATCTCCTTTCCATTATAATCTCCTCTTTCTATTTCTCTGCCACTCTGATTGTCTTTATTTTGAGTCCCGTTGTTCTCACGGTTTCCCCATGTCTCTGGGGAAAGAGTTAAGAGACTGGGCTTCTGAGTCTTGCAGTTCTGTGAATGTGTTCTGAATAACTGTAGAGCACTGGAGCTCTACAGAATCTCTGCAGGAAGGAGAGGGGCTATGGTGGTTTGAATGAAAATGTCCCCCATAGGCTCCAAGTGTTTGGACATTTTGTCCCCAATGATGGCACTGTTTTAAGAGGTTTTAGGTGTGGCTGTCCTGGAGGAAGCATGTCACTGGGGGTGGGCTTACAGAGTTCTTAAGCCTTGCCAGATCTCCAGTCGCCCTCTTGCTTCCTGTTCCTAAGTGATGATGTGAGAGCTTAGCTTCCGCTCCTCCTCCAGCCACCTCTGCTGCCATGCCTCCCTGCCAAGATGGACTGTAATTCCCCTGGAACCATAAGCTCAAATAAACTCTTCCTTCTATAAATTGCTTGGGTCAGTGTTTCTATCACAGCAACAGAAAAGTGACTAATACAGGGGCTTCTTTGTATAAGATAAATCTTTCTGTGCTTTGACCAATCCTCATAGTCAGTTTCCTGATACTTGGAAGTACTACGGAGAAAATAAATAACCCCACAGTTAGTGTCTGCATATTTGTGTTGTAGTGCCCAGCTGGTTTGGAACTGGCTGTGGCATTTCAGTTACAATGTCTGTGTTAATCCTTGATTCCAAAATCGGCATTTAGAATAGGTGAGTTCTAAGGCTCTACTCAATTCTTTTTAAAAGAACTTTTATTAATTAAAAGACTTTTAAGCTAGCATACAAGGTATTAGGTATCATTATGGCATTTTCAAACAAGATATTAGTAAATTCTCCTTCCCGCCCATTGCCCCACCCCCTTCTATCCTGGTTCCCCGACCCAAGTCACCTCCTCTTTCTTGTCACATGTGTCCTTTTGTTCACCCTCTGCTCAGTCTTAGACACAGATTCCCATAGACCTGAGTCACTGGTGTTAAAAATAGAAGACGTTAAAACAAGGCAGCATACTAATTTTATTTTTCTTTTCTTCAAAAATATGGTCTAGGAAAAATTCAAGGGGGGGTATTTAAATAAAATGGCTTTTAAATTACATTTTATGGTTGGGCATGGTGGGGCACTCCTTTAATCCCAGAACTTGGGGAAGCACGCAGATCTCTGTGAGTTCAAAGTTAGCCTGGTCTACATAGCAAGTTCCAGGCCAGGGACTACATAATGAGACTGTCTCACAAAAAGGAAAGAAAAAAAAAACTACATAAACTATATTTTATGATGGACTTAATCTGCATGGAGCACATTTTTGTGAGGCTTATATTAACATTGTATTTCTTCTAACACTTTCTTTTGGATAGCCATGTTCACTTACTTGTTTTCTCTAAGATTCCTTAAGCATTTGCTCATTTAAAAAAAGTATTATTTTCGGGCTGAGATGGCTTAACGATTAAGAACACTGACTGTTTTTGCAGAAGACCTGGTTTTGAATCCCAGGACCCACATAGCAGCTAACAACTGTCTGTAACTCCAGTTCCAGGGGATCCCACAGCCTCTTTTGTCCTCGACAGGCATTGCATGACACCAGTGCACTCACCTACATGCAGACATAACACTCATACACATAAAATAAAAAATAAATATTTTAAAGTATTATTTCTATATATATAATATATAGTTTCTACAGTTCTCACCTTTTAGGTTATTAGCTGCTTATTGATTTTTTTCGGAGATTTTTTCAGTGTGTGAAAGAAGTATCTTACATTTTATAATCTTCATTTTTACTTTTGCCAGTATTTATAACCTTTTGAAACTTTCCTTTTTCATATATTTTTGTATTATGAAAGGTCCATAACTATCCATAACTCCAGTTCCAGGGGATCTGATAGCCTCTTTGTCCTCCGCAGGCATTGCATACCACGGGTGCACTTATCTACATTCAGGCAATACATGGATACACAGAAAATAAAAATAACAAATAAAGTATTTTTTTTAGGATTTATCTTTCAGAATTTTGTAAGACCTCAAAATCTGCAATAAACCAAACTAGTATTTTAATTTGAATGTTCATTTTATCTGTTAATGTTTTTCGTTTATTGTAAAAAAAAAAAGAGTAGTTCATTAAAATTCTGAAAAATACTAAATGTAATTAACCAACAGATCATAATTTCTGTCAGTAACCCATCCACAATAACCTAAACCCATATAACATGTTTCTATATGCATTGTTTTTAGGTCAAAGAAATCAAAGAACTCAATTGATAAATCAACTGAGACTGACAATGGCTATGTATCCCTCGATGGGAAAAAGACTGTAAAAAGCAGTGAAGGTGGAATACAAAACCATGAACCTCAGTGTGAAACTGTTCGACCAGATGGTACATCCTGGATCACACGAACTCCCAGGACTCTTCCCAGCAAAGTAAGTGTCACTTTTATTTTATTATTTTTTTTTAATATTTAAAAAATTTTTGTTTTGTGAATGAGTGTATTGCCTGCATGTATGTAAGTTCACCCATGTCATGCAGTGCCCATGGAGGTCAAAAGAGGGTGTTGGCATCAGATCTCCTGGAGCTGTGGAAATGGATTACAGATGGCTGTTAGCTGCCATCCTAGGTCTTCTGCAAGAGCAGCTAGTGCTCATAACCACTGAACTATCTCTCCAGTCCCATAAGTGTCACTTTTAGATAGTGCATGTCATTGTATATATGCTCATGTGAAATAATTTAGATATAATAGTTGTTCTCAAGCTAAATGTTTTCTCTGGAATTCTATAAACTCTTTAAGAAATATTTTATTTATTATTTTTACTTTATGTGTATGAGTAGTATTGCTGGGAACCAAACCCAGGTCCTCTGCAAGAGTAACCAGTACTCTAAACCACTGAGCCATCTCTCCAGCCCTGAAATTCTGTGAGCTTTCATAAGTTATATTGATGAAGCCAAAAATCAGATAAATATATTTAAACTTGATTTGAAATATAACTTGGTACCTCCTGAATTGATCGTGGCTTGCATTGTTTTGGATTGTTAAAACAACTTATAATTTATATTAGTATTTACTAAACCTTATTTTTTTCTCTCCCTGTTTTCATGTCATTAAGCTTAGTAGCTAAATTATTCTGAAAGCTGAGCTAGGACACTGACTTATTCTGTATGAGAAAATGCCTTCCTCCATTTATTACCTTTGGTTCTGTACATGTGTTTTATTTTGTTTTGTATTTGATCTGAAAAAAAAATTTATTAAAAACTTTTTCCTTGAAAGGCAGTAATTTTGTATGGAATAGAATGTGACATTTCAGTACATACATACAATTAATTTGTAGCAATCAGATCAAGGTAACTGGCCTATCACTGCATCTATCATTTCCTTATGTTGGGAACATTCAAAAATCCTTTTCATGATTACAGAAAATAAAAAAAAAAATTTCTTTGTATGTAGTTGTACCCCTGTGTCCCTCAATCACTGTCTACTCATCTGCCCTCCCCTCTTCCTAGGCTCTGAATGATAACCACTATTCTGTTCTCTTATAATTGTCTCTATATAAGAATGTGCAATACTAGTCTTTTGGTGCCTAACTTATTTCCAGTTCCATCTATTTTGCTGCAAATGACAAAAATTTATTCCTTTCATGAGCTGAATAATATTTCAATTGTGTATCTGTACCACATTTCCTTTATCCACTCATCTGTCAGTAGACCCTCAGTGGATTCCCAACTCTTAGCTATAGCTATAGTGAGTAGTGTTGTGGTGAATCTGGAGATGCAGTTGTTTCTTTGACATACTAACTTCATTTCATTTGGATATCATTTGGATATATACCAGTTATAGGCTCAGTAAGTTTTCTGAAGACATTCTATCCCGTGTTCTACAGTGGCTATACTAATTTACATTCCTACCAGCAGTATGTGACAGTACCCTTTTCATATTCACATCACTCTTTGTGTGTGTTGTTGTTAGCTGGAGTGAAATGATACCTCATTGTAATTTTGATTTTCATTTCCTTGATGATTGGTGATTCTGAACATTTAATATTTATTTATTTTTTTTGAGAAATCTATTCAGGTCACTTCCATTTCTTTTTTAGGTTTTTTGAGACAGGGGCTCACTGTGTAACCCTGGTCGGCCTGGAACTTGTCATGCAGACTAGGCTGCCATGGAAAACTATATTTATATTCAGAGTGGAATTAGACCCCTACCTCTTATCAAATGTAAAAATCAACTGAAAACAAATCAAAGACTTAAATTTAAGACTCAAATTTCTGAGGACATGAAAAATATTTCAGGACACTCATTTGACCTTCCTCTGTCTTCTAAGTACTGGGATTAAAGGTGTGCCACCATGCCTGGCTAATTTTCCATTCCTTAATTAGAGTATTATTGCTAGTAAATTTAGCAAATTTTTGAGCTCTTTATATATTATGGATTTTAGCTTCTTACTGGATGAATACTATAGTAAATACATTTTTCCATTCTGAATGTTGTTGGGTCTAATGTCATTCTGCATATAGTTTTCCTAGTGTCATTTATTGAAGAGATTTTCCTTCATGAACGAGTAGACAGTTCTCAAAAGAAGAAATACAAATGCTAATAAGTATTTTTAAGTGTTCAATATCCTTAGTCATCATGGAAATGCATCTTACCCCGGTCAGCATTTATTTGTCAGGAAAAATGACAAGTGCAAGTGCTGGTGAGGATGTGAGGAAAGAGGAACCCTGGTGAGAGGTCACTGCTGGTGTGTGTTATTGGTGCCTCTGTGAAAATTCAGTTGACTTTGCGTGTGTGTGTGTGTGTGTGTGTGTGTGTGTGTGTGTGTGTACGTACATGTACACCCTCCATCTTCAACTTTTTTTGTCAGTATTTTATAATTCTCATTATAGAGATCATTCACTTTTTTAGTTATATTAATTTCCAAGATTGGTGCATTTTGTGTTTTATTTTAAAGTGTTAACAAGTACAAATATAAGTCACAGACAGCTTTAGGGGAAAATAAGAAAATTAGGGAATTGAAATAATTTTCAGTATTTTACTAGGAAGTGCTACAGAAGTTCCTCAGAACTTTTAAAGAATAAATGGTTGAGCTAAGTGTGGTTGTGGAAGCCTTTAATACCAGCACTCATGAGGCAGAGGCAGGTGAATCTCTGAATACCAGGCCAGCCATGGCTACATAGTGAGACCCCGTCTCATAAAAACTAAACAAAAGAATAAATGATTGGTTTAGGCCACAGCAGTTCTTGCTGTCTGACAGTATGCCTTTGAAGGTTGAAAAGTTCAAAGAGTCTGAAAATAAAAAGTAAGTACACTAGTAGGACCAGAGAGAAGACTCAACAGTTAAGAGGGTGTACTGCTCTTGGAGAGAACATGAGTTCAGTTCTAGCAGCCATGTTGGTGGCTTTCAACTTCCTGTAACTCCAGCTTCAGGGTATCCAAGACTGCCTCTGGCCTCTGTAGTCGCCTGCACTCATGTGCACATGCTTATACCTACACATGCATACATATAATTCAAAACAAAACACTGAGGAGCTACTTATCTGATTTAAGTATTCCAAAAAGCAGGCCAAAAAGCAGGCCAAACATTATCAGACAGCATGGTGGAAGCCTCTGCTCCCTCTGTGAGCAACAACAGGACACGGGTGCTATCTGGGGCACCATTCTGTTGTAGTGAGCATATTGACTGACCAATTACCCATGGATCAAGTTACCCCTCCTATCCAATCAGTAGACCTTAGCTGGATGTGGGGGAGGGGCTAAGCCAGGACCCCATGAGGCACCTCTCTCGCCATTTTCTGTGGCTTTCAGGAAGTCACAGGATCAGTATTTGCATGTGGACTTTACAGCGCGCAGCTGTAAATGTGTGTGTAGGGGGGTTACATCCACTCTTCTGTAAATAAACCCCCACCCTATGCCCAATAAACTCATTAGGATTTTAAGAACAGAGCTAATGCAGCCTTCATTATTCCACCAAAGTCGACCCCATGTTGGCAAATCCTTTAGTCTTTGATTTCTTATTCCTATTCATCCCCCCTTAAGCTTCACTGCATTTTTTTTTAATGTAACCCCTGCTTCAAATTATTTCTGGAAAAATGTGTTAAAAATTGCCTCTCTTTGGAATAAAAATATAAGTAAATTAATAAATAAAAAGGCAAAAATAAATGCATCTTTTAAAAAACAATAATTAACATTTTCACTTACACAGTTTCAGAATACCTAAAATCTGAAATGTCTTACAGTCTGTCAGATATATAGCCATGTTCAACTATTCATCTCTTGTGGCCCCATAAACTGTTATTAATCAGTGATGGATATTCTCATTGACAGCCTTCTAGCTTCATAAAATAGTATAATTTTTCCTCAGGTCTCTTGACTTCTTTCAAATGGCCTCCCTTCTACTTTTTCTTTATTTTATATTTCTTCCTATTGTAAGGTAGGATCCTTTCATGAACAAAATGTTAAAAATAGCATTTTACAGATGAAAATATATATTGAAGAAAGAATAGTCACTGACTTAAGACATTTGCAGATAGTTATGTAGTACTAATCAATTTGAGTATTTAAAGGCAGTTTTTTTTTGTTTGTTTTGGTCTTTTTGAGACACAGCCTCCCTGTAGCCCCAGCTGATGTGGAACTCGCTATGTAGACCAGGCTGGCCTCTTACTCACAGAGATCCCCCTGCCTCCCAAGGGCTGGGATTAAAGGCGTGTGCCACCACGCTGGCTAAAGGTATTTTTAAAATGCATTGTATACCTGTAATTTTTAGAGATTGCCATTTTAAAGCTCAAAAGTTGGTCAGAAATTACTTAAAATTCTCTTTGTGCCCTCTCATCTTAGGATACCCAGAGGAAAATAGCAAATATTTCTGATGAAGTATCCAGTGAGGAAGGTCCTGAAACAGGATACTCATTACGTGGTCATGTGGACAGGACTTCAGAAAGCAGTCTTCGAAATAGAAAGCCACACCATTATAGAAAGCATTATGCAAATGAGGTATACAATTTGACCTTACATATATGTGCATATGTATATGTTACATGCTACTTTCAACAACATTATTGTTGAAGTATTTCTCCTTTTTAGCAATATTTACCGTTTTACAATGATGTATATATAATGTAGCAGTTTTAGGGTACAAACTACTAAGTAGCTACTGTAGGCACTCATTTTGTCAATATCAATGACAACTCAGTATGTATGTAAATATTTTACTTTTACTGTTACATCTGTTTGTTTGTTTGTTTGTTTGTTTAATGGGTGGGACCTGCCATGGTGTGTATGTGGCCAGAGGACAACTTGAGGGAGTTGTTTCTCTCCTTTCACCATGTGGGTTCTGGAGTTTGAACTCAGGTTATCAACAGGTTGTCAGGCTTGATGGCAGGTGCCCTTACCCAGTGATCCATCTCATGGACCCTGGTTGTTTACTTTTAAAGTAAGCCTTCCTGACAGGCAATCAGTGGACTCCTGTTTAGTCTTCCATGGTTGACTGTAGTGAAGTTATTTTTCCAAGTAATTTCCTTCATGTTGGTGTTCCCAGCTATTAACTTCCTTATACTATCACAATGCAATGTTTTTCTTCTTTGATTCCATTTTCTCTTACCATTTGGTTTTCTCTAAAACCTTTTTCTAACTTTATAACATCTCTGGAGCTTAAATTATTTAAAGAGAAATAATTTCATTCCATTTTATGTTCAGTTTCTGTTATATAGACATAAATGGTCATTTCTGGCTTCAAAGATTTACTCCTTGTGTCGCTTTTTTTGCCAACATTGCCCTCTGCTGTTTTTGAAATATACAAATGTGTTGTTTTATGATTTGGGGTTAAACTTAGAAAAAATTGAATGCCCTGCTGTCTCTCATTTCCTCTGTTCATAGTCCTGGCTTGTTGGGGTCTTCCTTCTCTCAGTGGTGGCCGTTAGACAGACGCCAATACAGTGTCAGCTCATCACTTCTCCATCCACATCCTGCTCTTAAGCCAAATAGCCAAGCCTGTGAAATCGGCACACTCGGTACAATTAGAAGTTCTTTAGGCTAGGGGAAAGCTACAGAGCCATTTGACCCTTTTCCTACACAGTAAAGTTCTTAACTTTGGAAACGCTCTTAAACACTCTAATCTTTACTCTTTTGGTGTCCAGTAGCAAAATACCAATAGTATTTTGAACTATTGAGATTCTTGAAGGGCAGAGGGTTATTCTACTAAACTTATCTTTAATACTGCCTAAAAATTGTCTTTCAACCTACATAAGGTTGATAATAAGCATTTGCTGTTTTACATCTTTTTAATGATATAAGAGCTTATATAAAGATAAAATATGATCTTAGACCTATTTATAAAATGGAGACTTCAAAATTAAAGATACTTAAAAAGTTACATTAAAGCTGGGCATGGTAGGACATGCCTTTAGTCCCAGCACTCAGGAGGCAGAGGTAGGTGGATCTCTGTGAGTTGAAAGCCAGCCTGGTCTACACAGCACGTTCCAGGCTAGCTGGAGCTATAGGGAGACCCTGTCTCAAAAAGATGAAAAAAAATTGCATTCAGTTCCCTGAAATTTTGACTCCTAAAAATCAAACCAACTTTGAAGGACTTAAATATTTATTTTTGACTCAGAGTCTCATTATGTGATCCTGGCTGACCTGGAACTCACTGTGTAGACAAGCGTAGCTTCAAGTGACAGGGATCCACCTGCTTCTGCCTCCTAAGAGCTGGGATCAAAGGCATGTACCACCGTGCCAGGGCAGGCAAAAGAAGTTTTTTTAAAAAAAAGTAAAATAAAACCTTCTGAAAAAACAAAGTGGAGGCAAATGTACAGTACTCTTTTTGCATTTTATTTATATTATAAATTACTATACTTTTCAAATTACTGGTGATTTCTTTTTTAAAGAATAAGCTACTTTTACCACCCCCCCCCCCCAAGAATCATTTCGTCATACCTAACCCCAGTGGGGATGATTAGTCTGGATTGTACAAGTTATCGCTTTAGGGCAAAAAAAATTTACACAAAACAGAAACAAACAAACCAGTACTCCTTATGAAGAAACAACTGATTCCTAGTTGCTGTATGTTGCAAGAAATACACAAAATTACCATGGAACCTTTTGGCATGGAAGAGTAAGAAAGCTATCAAAGATTACTATGATCTTTTCAGGTGACATATAGGATCCCAAAATAAGAGTTTGAAATCACTTTCTATAAGTATTCTAACTAATAAATGAGAAAGAAAATTTTAAATGTTCAGTGAGACTGGGTGCGGTGGTACTGGAGGCGAGTGATGGCCTTGTCTTTCCATGGGTGGACTTGCACTCACCCCCCTGTTCTTTACTGCTTGCTAGGATGTATTGCTAGCTTCCTCAGGTTCAAAGTTGGAAGAGGGTGGCAGAATTACTTGGTTAATTGGTATGCAGACTATGCCCTAGAGAATGGACAACTTCTTTTAAGCAAATGTCTTGTTTCCTCTGCTTTGCCTATCTAATTCTACTTATTTTTTTTAATGTTTGCTCACTTTTTGTAGATTAGATTCTCATCTAATGAAGGTAGCATTTGATGGGAATCATAATAAAGAAACTATGGAATCAGACTGTTTAAATGATTCTGGGAACTTTCTAAACTTCTCAGTGTTTTTCTGCATCTGAACTATAGGGAAGTAAGAGCCTTCCTCAGCAGATAGGGTTAGCTTGAACTGTTTCTTTAAATGATAAGATTTCTTACTTTTAGGCCTTGGTAAGCAGTTTTTAGGTAGAATTTTATTTTAAATGTAAGGATTACAGGTAATTTGGAATTTTACATTTGTAAAATAAGTAAAATTATTTTAGGCAGAATACAGTAAGAATTATGACTGTTTCCTTACCCTTAAAACTACCCATGAGTTTCAATAAAAAATCATGCCTATAATTCTGCCATTTATTTCTATATCCGTTTAGCAAATCTGCATCAGAACTTAAGTTTCTGCATTAACTGCTGCCCACTATAGAAAGAAGCTTGCTTAACCAAGGTTGAGAGCAGCACTAATCTATATCTATAATCATAAATATTTAAAAAGCAGTTTGACAACATGAGCATTTAGCAAACCAACAGTTAATAGCTTTCCTCCTTTATGACCTTTCCAGTCATGGACTTTTGACCAAGTTTATAATAGTGAACATGAATCTCCTTCAGGGAGCAGGCCTCAATTCTAATCATAAAGTAGTTGGTTACCCCTTAATAGCCATGCCAGTATTGCACCAGCAGGCACATTTTTCCTGGCAGGTCAGTGTTGTACCATGGGATCCTGGCAAGTCCAGCACTGGTCAAGATCATTGATGTCTTCTCTCTCACAGCAACCTGCATTGCGCCTCTGGCCAGCAAGATATTTTCTGTTATTTTAAGTTCATTTTCCTGTTCATCTCTTTAAAAAGAAATTACCTCTCTTTATACATCTCTCCTTCCACAAATGCTCAATCAGTATACTAAATGTAGGTACATGATGCCCCATTCTAATTAGTAATGTACTTCATTCATTAAAGATGTTTCATTACCTATGGTAAGGATGACAAAGTAGTGTTTGTTTCTGTATTTTGTGGTCCAAGTATTTGTAAACATTAAATACATGAACAATTAAGACAGACAATACTGTTAGAAAGGAAAGTTTTGTCCGATGATACAACTCACTTCAGGGATGAAATAACTAGATATAAGGCTTTCAAGTAACATTTTGAGCCTGGCCTTATGCCAGATTTGTACATAAAGCTGCAGGAATCATTTAATTTTCAACATTTCTTTAGGAGGGCAGGATTAGTGCTAAGTTGCAAAAATATAACCAAAAGCTAGAGTGACCGAGAACTAGCTGGTTTGGGCATCTAGGGTGCAGTCCAGTTTCATTAGAGGAAAAGTTGTGGTCACAAAGTACACTGGGTAAAGGAATTTGAACTTTATCCAGGAGAGACATGGGAAGCCATGGTGGATGGATTTTGGTTAGAGGAGTGAAAGGACAGCTTTATTTGGGGAAAGATGCTCTGGAAAGAAGGGGAAGATCTTTTAGAAACTTTAACAAGGTATGAAATAAAATCAGGACTCTAGGGATAGTGTGGGAAAGACATAATTAAAAAATATGTTAATGGTAAGATTAACAAATCATAGATGCACGGGACAGCAAATAACAAAACCAAAAATTTAAGCATAGCTGTACAGATTGCTTTTGCCATTCGTTATTCAGTAAACTTTTTAAAAATTGAAGCGAAATTTTATTCCTGTTTATTTTGTAAATTAAAAAAATGAAGATAAAATCAGTTGATTAGAAATTACCTGTTGCTGGGCATAGTGGCAACTAGCCTGTAATCCTAGCACTTAGGAAACCTAGGTAGGAGAAGCAGGGGAGTTCAAGGCCAACCTGAGTTTCTGAAGGTCCTTTCTCATAAAACAAAGAAAAGAACAGTACAGAAAGTGCTTGTGCCATTCAGCTTTTCACTTTCATTCCATAGATTATCTTAAGAACATAAAACAGTAATTATCTTTGTAGTTTTGACTGCCCATTAAATTAGATCTCCAATCCTAGTACTGATGAGGTCGAGAGCAGGTAGGTTGTATGTTTACATACAATGAAGCCAACCTGGGCTACATTACAAGTTCAAAGCCAGCCTGAGCTACATGGGAGATCTCGTCTGAGAAAACCAAGAACTGAGGATATAGCTCTGTATAGAGTACTGGAAGCCTTGGGTTTACACACTGCAAGAAGCATAGAAAGTACTTCATGTGGTGCAAGCCATATGGACTTGGACTAATCTTGGCCTACCTGAATTCTGAACTTATATAAAATTTGAGAGAAAATAGCCACACCTTTGCACGCAAAATAATGTCTGAGCCTAAATACAAAATCAAATTTTAGTGAGAAGGCATTTGTTGCTCCTTAAAAATTAATCTGTATTTTTAATGTTTTGCTATCTCTTCCACTGACCTTTGACAGTGTTTGTTGTTTTAGAAAAAGTAACAGTGTATGGTTCTTACAAATCCTTTGAGTTGGAAAGGGCATATAAATTGTATTAATGTCAAAGAATATCTTATTTCAGGATGCCCCTAAATCGGGTACTAGTTGCAGCTCTCGCTGTTCAAGTTCCAGACAGGATTCTGAGAGTGCAAGGCCAGAATCTGAAACAGAAGATGTGTTATGGGAAGACTTGTTACATTGTGCAGAATGCCGTTCATCTTGTACAAGTGAGACAGATGTGGAAAGTCCTCAAATTAACCCATGTGTGAAAAAAGAATATAGAGACGACCCTTTTCATCAGGTTAGTTCACAGTGTTGGATCGTGTTGAGCTGTCAGACAAGTCTCCTTTGAATGTATGTACAAATCTTACAGCAATGAAAAAAGTTGACATTCAGTGAAAATAATATTCTTATAATTTTTTTTAAATATGAGCTCTTGTTTGGCTTCATTAGAATATAGAATCTCAGTGATTATTTTGTAGTTGTGTGTCTCGTCTTTTGCATGTATGTTCCTGAGAAATGGTTAGTAAATGGAGTTTTGTGAGTCAGTTTGTTTTAAATTCAGTATTTTTTTCTTGTTCAGATTTATGTGTACTTTAGACTGAACTCTACATTTAAGATTATGATTCATAAATCTATATCTCATGAATATTAAATTTGCATGACTAAGCAGCTATAGTAATATCCAATAGAAATATAATGAGAGTCATGGTCATAATTTACATTTTTCTAAGCTTCATTTAAAGCACAGATGAAATTCTGTTATGCTTTATTAAACCAAATATATTCAGTGTACTATTCCCTTACCATATAATTAATGTGAAAAATATTAATAGACTATTTTACATTTTTATACTAAGCCTACAGAATTTAATATGACCCCTTAATGCACATCCCATCTTAGATTGACCATTTCAAGTGCTGAAAAAGCACAAGTAAGATACTATATTGAATAGCAAAGTTCTGTAGGATATTGTCATTTGAATGTCCCATCAACACCTAAATATAACCAGATTCTCCATCTTCCTTTATCTTTTTCTTTTATTGCATTCAAAATCTTGGTGAGTGGCAACTCCCATCTCTACTGACCAGTTCAGAAACCTGATGACCATTTAAAATTCCTCACCCTAGGCTGGGGACACAGATCAGTTGGTGTAGTGGTTACTATGCAAGCATGAAGACCTGAGTTCTATCCCCAGAACTCTTGTTTTTAAAAAGCTTGGTGTGGCTATGCACTGGGGATGCGGGGGCAGGTGGATTCCTGGGGCTATTGGCGTAGCCTTCTTAGGTGAGTTCCAGGCCAGCAAATCAGGTTGATGGCATCTGAAGAATGATACCCAAGTTTGATCCCTGGCTGCTGATCACAGTTCTTGCGTCTGGAGGACCGAGATTAGGGTATCAGTATGGTCAATTTCTTGGTAAGGTCCCACTTCCTGGTCTAAAACATCCCCTCCTCTAGTCTTACAGATCACTACTGTTTTCTTGTAGCCCTACATGGTAAACAGCAAGCTCTGGTGTCTTCTTCCCCTTTAAGGGCATTAATCCCTTTTAAGAGGGTTTTTGCCCTCTACACTAATTGCCTCCCTCAGGTTCCAGATACCAACATTAGATATTTAGCATTCAACATATGAACTGGGGAAGAGGCACAGGATGGGAGCTGAGCTGGTTGGTTTTTGTCAGCTTGACACAAACTAGAGACACCTGGGAGGAGGGACCCTTCATCAGATTGGTTTGTGGGCCATGTCTGTGAGTCATTTTCTTGATTACTATATGATGAGGGAGGACCCAGCCCACTGTGGGTGGTGCCGATCCTGAGCAGGTGATCCTGGGATGTGTTAGAAAGCAGGCTGAACACAGGTCAGAGGAAGCAAGCCAGTAAGCAGTGTTCCTCTCTGAACTCTGCTTCAGTTCCTGTCTCCAGGTTCTGCTCGAGTTCCTGCCCTGACTTCCCTCAATGATGGATTATAATATGGATTTGTGACCTAGAAGTGTAAGCAAAATAAACTCTTCCCTCCCTAAGTTGCTTTGATCATGGTGTTTATCACAGCAAGAGAAAGCAAACTAGAACGGGAGCATAGTTCTGAAAACCTTTTAATGATGACATTTTAGCAATATTTTTACTAAAGGTAGGTACCAGATGAAGGTGCTTTTTCTTTTTAAATTCTGACAGCTTGTTTATTCATTTGCTTGTCAGGTTTTGGTTGGATTTTTCCCTGAGTCAAAGTCCACATAAAAAGAGCTGGACATTGTGGCACATGCCTTTAATCTCAGTACTGAGGAGGCAGAGGCAGGCAAATCTGTGTGAGTTTGAGGCCACCCTGGTCTATGTAGCTAGTTCCAGGCCAGCTTGTGGCTACAGGGAAGCCCTATCTCAAGAAACAAAAAAAAGTCCACAGAAAAGAGCAAAATGTTAAGAATAGCAAAAACAATTTTAATAACGATAGGCAGACTTTCTGTACCCGATATAAAATTTTATTTTAAATTGAGACTAAGATGGGTTTCTTTAAATTTACACTTATTTTTATTTTATGTATATGAGAATTTTTCATGATATAAGTGCATCAGCGTGTGTAATGCCTGCAGAGGTCAGAAGGTGTTGCAACTGGAGTTTAAGATGCTTGTTAGCCACCATGTGGGTGCTATGAACAGAACCTGGGTCTTCTGCAAGAGCAGTGATATTCTTAACAGCTGAGCCATCTCTATGACTCCCCAAGACTAAGATAGTTTTATATGGATGAATGTATAACATACAGACCAATGGAACAGACTAGAAAAGTCCAGAAATATACTCATGATCAAGTGAATTCCAAATACATGATGTAAATAGTGTTAAAACTCAGTGGAAAAAAGATAGACTACAGAAAACACATAATGATGGATGGGGTGGTATCCACCTTTAATCCCAGTAGAGGCAGGTGGTTCTCTGAGTTGGAAACCAGCCTGGATAGAGTTCCAGACCTGGCAGACAGAGAGACTCTATCTAAAAAAAAGATAGCTGACTCAATAGAAAAATGAACAAAAGGATCTGAATAGGTAACTTAAGAGGACAAGTGTGTGTCAAGATGGTCAGTTTGTTAGTAGTCAGGCAAATGTAATTTAAAGAAATAAGATACTATTTTATGTTTATAAGATATCAAAGTTTTAAAATTTGAATTCCAGTGTTGATGTGTGTGTGTGTATGTGTGTGTGTGTGTGTGTGTGTGTATTAAATACTTCAAAATGGTAAGAACAGCTGAGTCACCTGAAAGGCTGAGAACTCAGTCCTTGAGGCTAGGTGGGCTCATCAGCAGTTGGAATAGTCCCACAGTGGCTGTCTACACTGGAAAGATAGAGAACCAGTAGTCAGTTTCTGTATCCATAGCGCTGGGTGCTTCAGTAGTCCCAGTCTGGCACTGAAAAAAACCTAAAGGGTTCTTGGAGAGCCACTGGTCATTAATCAGTGATGGAAGCCTGGAAATGCTAGTTCTGGTATCAGTGAAGGAAGCAGCAGCAGCAGCAACAAGACAAACCAGCTCTGTGGCACAAGGGAAGGCCAAGCAAGCAAAAGGCAGTGGTCTTCCTTCTCCTGCTATCAGAAGGTGCCACCCACATTTGGGGTGGGTCTTCCCACATTAATTAAGGCAATCAAGATGATTCCTCAGTTGAGGGTGCCTACTCGGGTGATTCTAACAGCAAGGATGTGAAAAAAGAAATCATTGAATAGTGATGATTACATTTCATTGTAATGAGACATACCTCTGAGTGTGTTTGGGAACACATTTCCAGAGAGGTTTAACTGAGTAGGGAAGACCCATCCTAAGTGTAGGTGGCACCATTATATGAACTGAGATCCCATATTGAAAAAGGGAAAAGAGAAAACCAGCTGAGCACTGGCGTTCCCTTCCCTCTGCTTCCTGTATGGTGCTACAGGTCCAGGTGCTGCTGTAGTCATGACTTCCCTGCCCTGATGGACTGTATTCTTCTGAACTGTGAGCCAAAATAAGCCCTTCCTCCCTTGATTGCTTTTTGACAGTGAGCAAAGTATCTAATACAACCTAACAGCAGTAAAATTAATAAGTTAAAGCAGATAATAAAACAATGCATAGCAATGAAATTAAAGTTAGTTACATGTCAATATAAGTTTTGTGAGTATAGCTTTTCAGTTATAAATAGAAGTTTTTTGAGTGAAAGCAATTTGAAGGACTGTAGTATATAACATTTACATAAAGATTAAAAACATGCAGAACTATCTTATATATCATGAATAAAAGCCTAGATAACTGGGATATAAAAACAGTCAAGGGAGTAATAAACACCAAATTTAGACTTGGGAATAAAGGAGGAGAATCAACCAGAGCAGGGTACAAAATAATTTCCATATTTACCTGAAACATTTTACTTGTTAACATACCTGGAGCAAATTGAAGAGAAAGATGAAATATGGTAAAGCCAGCTTAAGTGTAACTGAATGAAATGTTTCACTTTAAAAATAGACCCATTGATTTTGGCTTCTGGCCTTCATGCAGGGTGTTAGAGGGTGTGAATGAGTAACATTGAAGAAGCATAGCCATAGGAATTTGGAGAAAATGAAGTAGTTCAGTGGAGACATTAAGAGTTGAAAGAGTGTTTTTTTTTCCAAGATGTGAGATATTGAACTCATTTATGTACATATGAGGAAACTGTAGGGAAGAACTGAAAGAATTATAAAAGAAAGAATTGGCAGGAAGATGAGTGAACCTCTGGGGTAGGAGAGAAGGGTGCATAGAACTGGCAAGGCAGTGAAAGCTAGTGTCTGTTGGTTTCTGTGAGAGCTTGTAGAAGGTGAAGATATTGTTTGAGGGGAGTAGAGACAGAAAATGGCACTGCTTGAGCATATAGTCAAGCTAATGAGCACATTATAAGACCCAGCCATATTGATGAAGGTGGAGCTAGACTGTGAAAACATGAATTTGGAGTTGCCCACTCAATACAGTTATATGATATTTTGTAGAATGTAGTTATAGCAATCATAGTAGCAAACATTTAGTATACATTTAGTATATTGAAGGCTTGTGCAGCATAATCCGGGTGCATTATCTCAAGTTGTCCTCACAGTCTATGATAGTGTGTTTTATTTTTCATTTTGTAGATGAGAAAATTGAGTTTCAGAGTTGAGAAATCTGTCTGAAGTCACACAGAGTTAGATTCTCAATAAATAATTGCTATTAAAAGAAGGGGTTGAAGATTCAGCTCAGGGGAGGCCTTGACTTTGGTCCTCAGCTCCAAAAGTAAATAAGTAAAAGAACAAGAGAAGGAATGACTGAAGTAATGTTTCTGGAGGGAGACTAGATGTCAGATTGACCAAGAAGGGACTAGTAAATTGAGGGATAATTATGCTCAGAGACTGGCAAGATGGGAGATTGTAGCTAAGACTGATTTTAGAGGTAAAGCAATTTGTTATGGTGACAGGATCTAGGTTGTGACCATGGGACTAGCTGAAGAGCTCCTGAATTTGAGTAATGAATAATCCATACCCTATGATGTTGGATCAGTCATCCGCACATTCATCTAGGCCTATGAGTTTAATAATTGAATTGGAGGTAGAGGAACATAGCTGTTTCCCAGTAATACCATAAACAGCATAGAAGCAGGGACTATAATTTCTCCTGTATTGTTAGATGCAACACTACCTGGTATATACTATATGTTCAGTAAATCCTAGTTGAGTGACTACTCAAAAGGAAATACAATTTTTTTGAAAATATACCATTTATGCATTTTATAAATTATTTATGAAATTGTGATATCATTACTGAATAAATTGGCCCTAAGTTTTTCATACCATGCTGGTTCTTTTTCAGTGTAAGATAAAAATCTTTCAGTATTCTACTCTGCTTATCTAATTATGGTATCTTAGGCTTATATTAGTATTGCTTTTGGATTAAAGGCTCATTTTTTCCACATAATTTCACATTTTCAAGCTTTTAAAACACGAATGTTTTTAGTCTTAATAGTAGTTAGGCAATAGAAAGTAGTTTCCTTGTTTGTTTTACTTGTAAATAGTAACAAAAATTTGTATAGAAGAGAATTTTTCTCCTCTAATTACAGCTGGGTATATAATAAAATAGAAAGCCATATTCAAGTGATATTATTTTTCATCGGTAAAGCCAATCTTTAATTACTACATTCCCATACTTGGTAATACTGGTAAAGCAGCTGTCGTGGTGAATTTATTTGAAATCAAACAATACAATTAAAGTATTAAGATTTTCAGTTTTCGAATGAACTAAGAAGCAAAGCACTGAGGATCTGGGGTGAAGAGGAAAAATAATTTTAAAAAATTAAAATTTTACTTTGATACCTAAGACCCTCAGCTTGTCCAGCCTGCACAGGCCATGTATGATTCACAAGAGCTCTGAATGCTGCTCAGTATGTTTGTAGGTGACAGTATCGTGTTACAGTGTCAAAAGTTGGACATTTCTGCAGCCTATGTGATAAAATTATAAAATGTAATTATTCCAGATCCTCCTGCCTCTGACTCTTCAGCATATCCTACTGGTGTGCGCCACCACTACCGGCCTCTTCTAAGTATGTGGTTATTAAATAAATAATTTAAAAATTAAAATTAAAAAATGTAATTATTCACTCTTATATGTTTGCTGAGCCTTTTTTAAAAAGTGTTTCATGTGTTGTTGCTCTCCATGTACTGTACCTGTTTAACCAAGACTGTTTCTCACTGTATATTTGACAAACACACAAATACAGTGAGAGATACAGGGTTCTTTTGATAACTCTAAATTTACCATTTCTAATTGATATCTTTTGCCTTTTGACTAAGAAAATGATGTCAGATGCTTGGAAAAGTAACTGGGTAGGAAGGTGATAGCAGAGTACTTTCAGACAATGAAAAACTTCTTGATTTCTTATTTCTGTGTCTAGATTGACCTCCATGGTGTTAACATACCTTTCTTTGTAGAACTAAGAAGACCTTTAACTCTTGTTACACACTGAGAGCAGAAAAGAAGTCTTTTATCCATGGTTAAAATCTGCCTCCTAGGCTTAGCATTCTGTGATTTTTAGTGTTGACCATCAACCTGACAGGGTCTGGAACCACCCAGGAGACAGGCCTCTAGACACACCAGTAGGGCCTTATTTATACTAGGTTAGACTCTTGGCCTATCTGAGAGGGATTATCTTGATTAGGATCATCTATGTGTGGAAAGACCCATCCTAAAGGAAGGTGACACCATTTCCTGGGTTGAGTCCTGGATTGTGTGGAAAGACAGCTGACTAAACAGCATTCATTGATCTCTACTTCTTGATTGTGGACTTGAAGTGATCAGCTGCTTCAAGCTCCTGCTGCTTTGACTCCCCTGTCATAATGGACTGCACCTTGTAAACCTAAATTACTTTTTTCACAGAATTTTGTCATAGCAACAGAAAAGTAAGATACATTCTTTAAATTTTTCATTAAGCCTTCAATACTTTTTTACAGTGGGATTGGACTCAAGGCTTCATGCATGCTGGGCAGGTGCTCTACCACTGAGCAACACCTCTAGTCCCTTTTTTTCTAAATTGTTGATTCTAATGTGTTTCAGAATTTATTAAAATTTCAGAGAAAGTTGATGCATAATTTGGTACAAATTATTTCTATCCCAAGAATATTTTCTTGGGAAACAAGTTATAAAGCTTCAGAGCTGGAAATATGGCTCAGCAGTAAAGAGCACTGACTGCTCTTGCAGAAAACCCAAGTTCGATTCCCAGCAACCACATGGCAGCTAACAACCATCCATAACTTAAGTTCCAGGGGGTCCAATGCTCTTTTCTGACCTCCGCAGGCAATACACTCATACACATAAAATAAAAATAATAAAATATTTTTTAGAAACTTAAAACTTCATTTGAAATAAGTTGATAGTTTAAAACTAGCATTTCATGCCTCATAAGGCCTTCAAGTAGTGAAATTATAGATATAGATATATATACACATATATATACATATATATGTATATATGTGTACCATAAATGCAGATATAGTAAAGCCATATATCTTTGGAAAAGATAAATGTTCCCGACTTCCATTTCTTATACATTATTGGCTTTTATTAGACAACTTCAGTTGAAGTTTATCAGTGCAACTTTATTCCTGCTAAATGAAAATTTATAGTCCTTAAATTATGGAAAGATTTCTGAATATTAGAATGTCAATAATCTATTATTTTCCTCCAGTTACTATGAGTGCCAAACATATCCTTTATAGAAAATGTAGGAAATATCAGTCCTTGAGAAAATGTGAATTAGAAAGCTCTTAACTAGATCCCCCTTTCCAGGCCAACCTTTAGGTCACTTTTCCCCATCACCTGCTGATAGAAAAATGCCCCCATCGTTCTGTTGCTCTCTGCAGCCCAACCATCCTGTTTTCTAATTCTATTCCCTTATTTATAGCTCTAAAACAAACTTAAGCATCTGTTTCTTCATACTAAAGTTTTTAACTTTTTGTTTGACTTGTTTTATTTCTTACAACATTGAGAGAAACTTTGTCCTGCTTCAGAGAATACTGTAATTCTTTGTAAAGATTTCTGCTTATCATGCTTGTTGTATCTGAACAAAAGGCTTAAGTGATCTCTGGAGAAATGCTGTTTTAAAATATCAGAAAATTAACTAAATAAAACGATAAAGGTAAGTATAAGGAAAATCTCTTTCAGGATGAGATTGTATCATAGTGTTTGTCAAAGAGCTCATGATCTCAGCTAGCACATCTGCCACTGAGTGATCATAAATTGGACCAAACAGTTTGGTTTCTGTGTCTTTTAGCATTAGTGTATCAGAAGCCAGATAGACTGGGTTGACAACTGAGTATTTTTGCTGACATATAACTGCATAATTTCTTATGCCGTCTGTTCAATGTATAGCTAATTTTAAGTTGAAGTTCAAGTGTAGCTAAAATTTTGTGTGCGTAGATATGGCTAATGTACAAATATGTATGTTTCATTCATTAAATGTATTTACCAATTTTTGTTTTTAGTAGTTAAAATTGTGCTTTAGCTACATACAGCTTTATAGACATACTTTTCTTTGTGAGGTGTGATAAACACATTCATCAAATTCTTCTTTTGTAGAGTCATTTGCCCTGGCTTCATAGTTCCCATCCGGGACTAGAGAAAATCAGTGCTATAGTCTGGGAAGGCAATGACTGTAAAAAAGCGGACATGTCTGTACTTGAAATCAGTGGGATGATAATGAACAGAGTGAGTTTTCAAATTCTCTTCTTGCAGTTCCAGGGTAACAATAGTGGTTATTAATGTATAAAGTAATTACTCAAGATATTTACCTCTCTTTACCCTGGGGGAAAAATGTTACTTGTGTCTTTTGACTCCCCTTAAACAGTGATTTGTCATCAAACTCCTTTAATCTCTCGGGGTGGGTAGGCATGTGCCTGTGTATAGAGATCAGAGGACAGTTTTGTGGAGTCTGTTCTCTCCTTCTATCTTTACATGGATTCCAGTATTGAACTTGGGTGGCAGGCTTACACAGCAAGTGTCTTTACTGGTCTCCCACTCTCATCTTTTAACATTTCTGTTCCTCTTGACATTGTAAAAACTTCTACTGCTACCACCACCACCACTCCTGTTCCTCCTGTTCTCCTGTCCCTCCTCCTCTTTCTCCTTTTCTTCCTCCTCCTCTTCCTCCTTTTCCTCCTCCTCCTCCTCATTCTCCACCTCCTCCATCTCCTCCTCCTCTGCCTCCTCTTCTTCCCTCTCCTCCACCTCCTTTTCTTCCTTCAGTGGGTTAAGATTGAGAAATTATGATACATGTAGTTGAAGTTATTTTTCTATATCTTTACTGGTTCATTTATTTATTAATATCCAAAACTCAAACTAGAAAACTGTACTTGTGCTTTCATGCTTGCTTGCTTGCTTGCTTGCATAGACATACAGAAATACCAACAGTGGTAAAGATCTTGAGTAGTTAGACGTATATACAAATACTATGGATTTGTTTTTCATTTCAACTTCTATTGAATTATTTCTTCTATTACTAATCTAAAATTTTTTCCTGATTTCTCTGGCTAACAAGGCATAATTTTCTTGGAATTTTAAAGTTCTTTGGTACATTATTATACTGGAAATCATTACTTTTTGTAGGAGAGGAATGAAAATAACTGAGTCTAGAGACATTCCACATTACAGTTCTCAGTGTGAATCACTGAGACCAGTCAACTAGGGAATCTGGAGACTTGGAACTAGTGGTGCTCTGCAGCTTAAGTATCTGTGAACTGTAAGATAACTAAGAATAGTCTGACCTACTTAGCATATGTGAGTGAAAAGTTAGCTCCATGATATTTCAGTTTCACTAGTCTAGCATATTAAAAACTCATCTCCCCATATGATTTCATTTTTTTATATCTTCCTTACCTTTCCTCTACTTATTAATTTCTTCTCTCATTTTATATCTTGTTATTGGCATTAAGCAGACATTTATTTGTATATTGAACTCCAAAGCAAAATATGAGTTAAAGATTTACCAAATACTTAGAGCTAATATTTCTTTCTTTTTCATATTTATTTTGTGTGTGGGCATTCATGTGGCAATCAAGGGACACCTTTTGGGATTCAGTTCTCTTCTTCCACCATGTGGTTCCTGAGTATCTTTATCTGCTGAGTCATCTCACCTGCCCTTAGTTTGCTTTTGTTTTTGGTTTTGTTTGTGAGTTTACTGTTTGGATTTATTTGAGACAGGGTCTCACTGTGTAGGCCTGGTTGGCCTGCCTGGAGCTTACTATAGAGACCAGGCTGGCCTTGAACTCAGAGACCCACCTGCCCTTGTCTCCCAAGTGTTGAGTATTAAAACTGTGCACCACCACACCCAGCCACTAGATTTTTTTATTTTATGAATTAAGTCTGTATGTAGTCTCAAACTGTAATATTTATAGAAATATTTACAAATATTTCTAACTTAAAATAATGAGATTCATGGAATTTTTTTCAGTACCAAAGTAAGACTGATCGTTGTTTTACATCCACTTTTGATGAATTAGCGCTCTTATAATTTATGTATAATAGGTTCAAGTACCATTATTCATGTATTAAAATATTTTTTAAATCCTATAAGTAAAGTTGAATAGAGATTCATTTTACTTTAGATTAAATTATGCATGATTTCCTTTTTTCTTCCTTTACCCCCTGATTTCTTAAGGTGAACAGCCATATACCAGGAATAGGATACCAGATATTTGGAAATGCCATCTCGCTGATCCTGGGTTTGACTCCGTTTGTTTTCCGACTGTCCCAAGCTACAGACTTGGAACAACTCACAGCATACTCTGCTTCCGAGCTTTATGTGATTGCATTTGGGTCTAATGAAGACTTCATGGTTCTTTCTATGGTTATAATAAGTTTTGTGGTCCGTGTATCTCTTGTATGGATTTTCTTTTTTTTGCTCTGTGTAGCAGAAAGAACTTATAAACAGGTAAGTATAATATAAATATACTTCTACCTTTTTTATAATTCTCAAAGAATTTAAGTATTTTAGTCTCTCAGCTATCATTTTTGATGTAATTATTTTTGCTTTGCTTTTGTAGTACTTACCTCAGTAAAATCATAACAAGTCATTAAGGTTTTTTTGTGATAATCTTCATCCTAATCTTTTTAAGCGATTGCTTTTTGCAAAACTCTTTGGACATTTAACATCTGCACGGAGGGCTCGGAAATCTGAGGTTCCTCATTTCCGGTTGAAGAAAGTACAGAATATAAAAATGTGGCTATCTCTCCGTTCCTACCTTAAGGTAAAATGCTATGGATGACAGTACTCTTTAACATGCTGCCTCTCCTGAAAGCTTCAACTTCTTTCTAGTATATTTGGGTATGGGTTATGTTCAGCAATTTTTCATTCAAAGGCTGGATTAAACATTTTGTTTCTTCCTAGAATGGTTATCACAAGCCAGCAGAGGGAGCCCACTGCTTAAAAATGAATCTTGAAAAAAATCTGTAATTTAGGAGTTTCCTAGCTGAAATAGCCTAGTCTAGTGCTCTTTTAAAGTAATTTATAGTTCTGTCATTCCTCAGTGCTGTTCTTTTCTTTGATTTTTTTTTTTTTTTTTTTTTTTTTTTTTTTTTTTAGAACAGGGTCTCCCTGTAGCCCCAGCTGGCCTGGAACTATTTTATTTGACCAGGCTGGCCTTGAACTCACAGAGATCCACCTGCCTCTGCCTCCTGAGTGCTGGGACTACAGGTGTG